CCGGGGGCCCTCCCTCCGGGGGCCTACGAGGCAGGAAGTGAGCCAGCCAGAAGATAGGAGCTCCCTGCCCGTGGCTCCCCGTGCACCGGGGGCCCTCACTCTGGGGGCCTTGATCATTGCATATTTTATACAAATGTATTGACATGTCACACTATACCTTACAAGTATGTACAATTTTATGTGTCAATTTAAAATAGAAATAAAAATAAACTGGGCAAGGGACTTGAGTAGATATATCCCTAGATATACAAATGTCCAACAAGCACATGAAAATATGGTGGCATCAGTAACCTTTACAGAGGTGCTAATCAAACTCACTGTGAGGTATTTATCACTTCATACCTATCTAGATGGCTACTATCAAAAAACCAAAAAATAACAAGTATTGGCAAGAATCTGAAGAGATTAGAACCCTTGTGCCCTGCTGGCAGGAATGAATGCTGATCCACTAGGGAGAACACTATGATGATTCTTAAGAAAATTAAACAAAGGATTACCATGATTCTCAATTCCAATTTTGGATGTGTATTCAAAAGAACTGAAGGCAAGATCTTGAAGAGATACTTGTACACCAATGTTCATAGTAGCATTAATCACAGTAGCCAGAGGTACAGACAATGCACATGTCTATCAGTGTATGAATGGATAAACACAATGTGGTACATGCATGGAATGAGAAGAAGGAAATTCTGACACCTGTCATAACATGAGTAAATCTAATGGAAATAAACCAGTCACAAAAGCCAAATACATTATTCCATTTACACAAGTGTATTAGTTAGAGTTCACTAGAGGAACAGAATCAATAGGAAGCACATGTGCTGTATAATTCTATGAGGGGCTGTATTAAGTAGGCTTACAGGGTCAGGGGCATGAGAATCCACAATGGCTACCTGCACACAAATCCAGAAAGCTAGAAGATCTAGTAGCTGCTCAGCCCAAGAAGACGGAAGCTGCAGAAGAGGGACTAAGGGCACAGTGCTAATCTGAGGCCACGGGCCCAGAAGCTCACTGGAGAGTCGCCTCTGAGTCTGCCTGGAAGGCTGACTGGAGACTGATGTCCAAAGGTGACTGAGGCAAAAGACACACCCGATCAAACTGGAGCTCTTCAAAGCCCTGCAGACTTCCTTCTTCTTCCTCTTTTCTCTTTATTCCATCAGGCTACAAGCCTATTGGTTTGTGTCACCCACAACTGGGGTAGGTCTTCCCACCTCAGTTTGCTGACCTACAAGCCAGCCAGCCCTGGAAACACTCCTCAGACACACCCAGAACTGTGCTTTACTAGTATGCTAGTATTTCTTAATTCAGCAGAGTTGACATACCATGATTAATGGCTACAGTGAGGTCCATAAGAGTAGTCAAAATTACAGAGACAAAGAATAGAAAGGGGTTGCCAGGGGCTGGAGGCAGAGGAGAAAAGGAAGTTGCTTAATAGGTCCAGCGTTTACATTTTGCATGATGAGAAAGCGCTGAAGATTGGTTGTACAACAGTGTCAGTACACTTAATCTACCTCAAGCACACTTAAAATGCTTAACATGGTAAAGGATATGTTATGTGTATTTTGCCACATTTTAAAATAAAAAAGACACTAAAAACCATAACTATTAAAAAAAAAAATGCCTAGAAAGGAAATCTGGTCCAGATCATTTGCCTGAAAAATCTACAAAACGTTTACAGAAGAATTAGCACTAATTCTACATAATCCTTTCTAGGAAACACAAGAGGAGAGAACTCTTCCCAACTCATTCTGTGAAGCCAGTTATTACTGAGATACCAAAAGTAAATAAAGGTAGTAGGAAAAAAAATATAGAGGCCTGGGGATATAGCTCAGCGGCACAAGTGCCTGTCTGGCAAGTGCAAGATCCTGAGTTTGATTCCTGGTACAAAAAAAATATAGAATGTCTTATATGAATTTAGATGCAAGCATTCTTAACAAAATTTTACAAAATAGATTCAGCCATATATAAAAATCATCTCACACCACGTCAAATTGGATTCATTTCAAATATGTTAAGTTGGGTTAATATTAAAAAATCAGCCAGGTATGGTGGTACAGGTCCATAATCCCAGCATTCTGAGAGGCTGAGGCAGGAGGATCTCAGGTTTGAGTCTTTCTTGGGGAACTTAGTGAGCTCTGTCTCAAAAAAGAATTAAAGAGGTGCAAAGGCTCTGGCTCAGTCTTCAATACTGAAAAAAATCAATCAACATAAACTAAAGAAGAAAAATTACATGACCATATCAATTGACAGAAAAAAAGCATTTAACAGAATTCAACACCATTCATGAAAAGCTCTCCCTAAGAGTAGAGAGACACTTCCTCAACTTGATAAAGGACTCCTACAACAAATCTATAGGTAACAGTGTACTTACTGGCAAAAGACTATGTACTTTCCTTCAAAGATTGGGGTCATGGTAGAAATTCTGCTTTCACGCTCACTGCTAGAAATTCTAGCCACTGTGAAAAGGAAAGAAAAGGAAACAAAAGAGATATGGATCAGAAAGGAAGAACTAAAGAGGTCTCTACTGGCAGATGACATCACTGTTTATGGAGCATTTCCTATGTAATCTTTTAAAAGAAGCTTTAGACTAAATGAATTCAGTAAGTGATAGGGATTCAAAATCAACATATGAGAATCAATGGCTATTTCTATATGCTAGCAATGAACACATGGAAGCCAGAACTAAAAATTCTAAACACTGTTTAGAATCACTCCCAAAACAGAATACTTAAGTATAAATCTCACAAATTCAGACTTGTATGGACAACGACTTATATGCTGAAAACTACAAAACCCCAAGGAAAGGAGTCAAAGAAGATCTAAATAAACAGAAAGGTGTGGCTTGCTCGCGGGTTGGAAGACTCAATGTGGCAAAGTTGTGAATAATTCAGTTCCTTTTGAGATCTAAGCAAGATTATTTGTAGAAATAGGAAAGATTATTCTAAAATGTAGATGGAAAGCAAGAGAATGATAATAGCAGAAACAATTCTGAAAAAAGAGAAATAAAATGGGAGGGAGTCACTTAACCAGATTTCAAGACTTACATTGACTACTTGGTGTTGCTGGAGGATTTGTTCAACACAGCAGAACAGAGAACAAGGAAATGGTCTTACACAAGTGTAGCTAACTAAGCTTTGATAAACATGCAAAAGCAATTCAGTGACACAAGAGAAGGAAGAGCAGGACTCAAATAGATTTTTGGTTTGTTTTGTTTTTTGTTTTTTTGAGACAGGGTCTCACTATGTAGTTCAGACTGGCATTGAACTCACCTGGTCCCAAAAAACAAAACAAAGCAAAATAAAAAGAAGTCTTACTGGTAGATATTTACATCAAATTTCTGATCTCTCAAGCACTGCTTTCATAATTTCTTTGTAGATTCTATTAGCTTCTTTTCATATTTTCACTATTTATTTGAATATGAATGTGTTGAATTTCATTGGGTATTTTTTCTGCATCGATTGAAATATTCTTGTAGTTTTTCTCTTTTATTCTGTTAATGTAATGATTTCCATTACATAGTTTTATAATGTGCCAACTTCCCACTTTGGATCTACCTTCCACTTTTAGATCTACCTTGGTTATGATGATTTATCTTTTTATACATTATTGGATTCAGTTTGCATCTGTCTGTGAGTGAGATTTACTGATAATTTTATTTTTGTATTATTCTTGGTCAGTTTGTATATCAAGGTTATGTTAGCCTTGCAAAAATGAAATAAGAGGGCCAAGTGCAGTGGTTCATGCCTGTAGTGCAATCTACTAAGGCAGGAGGATTATGAGTTTGACACCAGTCTGGACATCTTACTGAGGCCCTGTCTCAAAATTTTAAATATTAACATGGGCTGTGGGTGTAGCTCAGTGAAAGAGCATGTGCTTAACATATGGGAGGCCATGGTCTCCATCCCCAGCATCTTCCCTGAAAAAAGAGAGTGAGAAACAGAGAGGGAGAGGGAGAGAGGGAGAATAGACAAAGAAATGAGCATACCTTTACGACTCTTCTCTTTTTCTTGTCAGCACTTCCAGAAACTTATCTTTATGTTTGCATTTCCAAGAAATCAGCATTTGGCTTTGCTACCTTACATTCTGTTTTATCTGATACTGACACAGATAACGTATTTTCTCTTAGTGGTATTTTTCTCTTCTTTGACCTTCAAAATAAAGAAAACGTTAGGAAGCTCTTGTAATTGCATGTTCTGGCTTAAGTATAGTTTGTCTCTATCCAAATCATGCTGAGTCTTAAGATAACTCTCTAAAGCAACCGTGTTGGAAGATGGGTCCTAGTAGGATGTTTTTGGGCTGTGGGAATAGCATCTTCATCCACAGATTCACCTCTGCTCAAGTGGGTGGAGTTCTCCCTCTCCCAGGGGTGGTTAGTTGCCACAGCCAGGCTGTTATCTAGCAAGGCCACCCCTCATATTTTGTCTCTTCTGCCTGCTCCCCTTTCCTTTTCCTTTTCTGCCATAAATTGAAGTCACACAAGCCCCTCACTAGAAGTTAAGTAGATGTCAGTGCTGCACTTGTGGACTTCCAGAAACACAAGACAAAATAAACTTTTTTTTTATGAGTTCCCCAACGTCAGCTGTTCTGTTTTAGCAAAATAAAATGGACTAAGACATTGCCTAACACTAGAATTTTTTTCCTTGTAAAATGTGATGCCATTTTCTCCATCTGGATTACCTGGCTCTTTTACATATTTTGTGATGACAGGTACATTTTGGGGGTACATTTTGTAACATCTTATATCCAATTCCTCCCACCAACTCTACTTTTCTGTCTTCTTTTGAATTAATTGATGTGTGTGTGTGTGTGTGTGTGTGTGTGTGTGTTTCTTAGTCTCTGTTTTCTTTTTTATGTTCTTGACAGTTTAATGCCCTGTGTGTATTTCAGTGCTCACCCTCTAAAATTAATAATGTTTGAAATTACTATTTTTGCCCTCTTCCCACCTAGTACTAGAAACTTAGGATGTCTTATCTCTGTCCCTCACCACCAGCTCATGTGTAGGTGCTACCCAGTGCTCCATGTTGCTGTGCCTGGTGAGGCTGGGAGAGGAAGACCCTATCCCTGCCTTTCTGACCTCCTCAGACTGTGGCCATGCCCAGCTTGGCAGACAGAGAGCCCAGGAGCAGGAAGCCGGTGCAGACACAGGGCAGGCACCCACACTGTTCCCAGGAGCTGGACCTCAGATCCTATCTGCCACTCCCATGCCTTTGTCCAGCACTTGGGACTTGGCTCTCAGGCCTGGTCTGGATCAAAATTTGCCCAAACAAGGAGCCAACCAGAGCTAGGCATCCAGGGCGAGGTCAGACTGTGCTGAGGACATAAGAGCACTCTCTCAGGCTTGCAACCTTCCCAGGATCAATGCTCAGGCAGCCAAGATGCCCTAGGAAGATGTGCTGTGTCTTCCTGCTAGTTTACGGCCCTAGGGAGGCTGGTAAGATTAAGGTGCTTGCTGACATGTATGTCTTTGTCCCTCGGCTCCCCTTCTTTGCTTCCTGCAGACGCTTCCTGCAGACTTTCCCTGATGTTCACACTATTACCAGGGAGATATAAGCTGGAGATGCTCTTGCTTGTGACTGACTGGCCTTGACTGGGCCTTTCCCAGCAGCGTGTCCTGGCTAAACATGTGCACTGCAAGCCATGTGCTCACTTGTTTCTATCCATACTCAGACATACCAAGCTGGGGAGGGGAGGTGAATGTACCCTACAGACTCAAGTGATGGGATAAAGAAGGGCTGAGCGGGGGGGAAGGAGGGTCACAGACACCCACTCGGGAAGCTGGAAAGTTATAGAGAGGAGCTACCCTTTACAGTGGGCTCAGAAGAATGAGTAGGAATTCACTAAGGTGAAAGTGGGAACAGGAATTGAGGAAAGGAGCGACCCTGGGCTGGAGTAGTAACAAGCATTAGTGGGTGGGGATGGGACAACAGCAGAGCAGTCGGGGAGCTAGTACACCTGAGATGAGGAAGAGACTCACTATGCCAAAGCTGGGAACCCAGACTGCCATGAAGTTAAAGTTTCTCAGACACTGACATTTGACAGTGGTCACATGGCCACATCTAGCTGTAAAGAAAGGTGAAATGTAGCCTTTGGCTGGGCCACATACTACTGTTTGGATGGGTTTGATATAATTTGAATGTGTTCTCCAGTTCCTATTCATCTGTTAGAAGCTTGGTTCTTGGTGTGGTAGTGTTTAAAGGTGGGGCTAGCAGAGCTGATTAGATCACTGGGGGGGGTGCTAACTCAAAGGAAGTACAGTAGTTATCATGGCCCTTAAGGTAGCTCTTGTAGACTGACTTCTTAAAAAAGAGTGAGAGTGACCCGTCGATTGCTGCCTGGCTTCCTGTCTTGTGTGATCGCTCCCTTATGATGCCATCCACCATGATGTGATGTGGTCCAGGGGGCCCTCACCAGAGGCTGACTCAGTAGGGCCATCTGATCTTGGATTTTCAACCTCCAAAATGGTGAACTAAATAAACCTCTTTCCTTTACAAAGCATGAAGCCAGTGGTGGCGAACCTAGAGTGCATGTGCTGGAGTGGGCTGTTTATATCATTGAAAGCTCTAAAAGGTTTGCCATCACTGAACTAAGCCTTAGCTATTTTGTTACAGCCGTGGAAAATGGACTAATACACTTGAGACTTAGCAAAACATAAAGCCTTCTAGTGCCATGAGATTAGCCGCCAGATCCTCAACTCTGATTGGCCTAAACTCAGGAACAAAGAGGCAAAAGTCAGCAGTAGGATGACTCTGGGTTCCATCCCGAGCACCACAAACAAAACAAAACAACAAAGAGGCAGAGGTGAGACAGGGCCTCTCCCCAAGTCCCATTTAACGTAACAGTGAGGTTATTGAAAACTAATAAACCTATATCAATATGGAAGGTAATAAAGATCATCAATTGACCAGAAATTCTTAAGAAGTTTGGACTGTTCTGGGGAGAAAAGGAGCAGATGGACTCAGAATGAGGGATAAACCAGGGCTGAGCTGAACACCAACAAGAAGCTACACAGTGAAAGGGGGCATGGGCCCAGGAGATTGAGGGCTGCAGTGTTAGCTTTGGCTCTGACAGCATCTTTGTGAGTCAAGTGATGGGGTTACCTGGAAGTAGAAGCAGATGAGCTTCTCTGTGCTGCTAATATTTGATTCATAGTCTTCAATAATTTCTCAGGATGCGTTAAGATTTTAGCCAGGTGTGGTGGCACATGCCTGTAATCCCAGCACTAAGGAGGCTGAGGCAGTGGGATCACTGCAAGTTCGGGGCCAACCTGGGCTACAAAGTGAGT